AAGGTGCATATACCAATGCTTTTACTTTACTCAGAGAATGCGTTCTCAGTTTTAGTCAAACGGTAAAAGAAATGCCAGCAATCTCACCTTAAGTTTTCTTGCATTCTTGCAGAAGCTCTTGATAGTTGCTTTTGAGATGCTACTTGGATCTCGACCAACTTTAACTAGGATGTTTTTCACCTTTTGCTCCATGGAAAGACAATCAGCTTCAGCTTTGGTTTGGTAGATTTTCTGCAAACTGATGTAGTGTCTACAAAATAAAAAAAGACAGATATATAGTAATTAGATAAAGGCTAAGGATGACTATCAGGCCTCCCATGAAACAAAAGAACAGGAGAACTGACTCTGTTGAAGATGTCATATCGGGCATGGAACCTTCAAGTGGTGCCTCCCCACCACCTTCATTTGAAATAAACTCCTGCAGGTGATGCATATAATCAGTAGGGTAAGCATTCATGTCCATGAGAAGCATAAAAAACTAACATGGATCAAAGAAACAATCCAATATGCTAAAACCCCAACAGACACGTTCTCAACTACTTCCAAGTTACGAACCTTGAGGGCTGCCACCATCACCCAAAAATCTGAGGAACTTGAGCCAACTTCAGCACAACTATCATTAATAATATCTTGAATCTCTTGGCCTGTAGGAGAAAAAAAGGTTTAGTTCAATGTGAGAAATATAGAAATTGGACTCGTAACGGATTTTCCTGGTACTTCACATATTAACTTTAATGTTAACTATTATATTATTAATATACATCAAGACGCATAGGGAATGATCAGCAAACAATCATGATTCATGAAGACATTTGCAAGTTTTCCAACTGGTTCTCGTTGCAGTTTTCGGATTGTCCAACCAATTTCAATATTCCAACATGTATAGTATAGAAACGATAGATTTAATGTCTAGTTTTAACCAATGCCAAACAAGACGTATACTCACTGATTCCTCGAGGAGCAAAAACTTTGAAAGTGGCTTCAACGGCTTCTTTGTAGTTATCTTCATCCATCGATACCATCTTTGACTTAACTAAATCCTAAGATTTCCAGGAAAAGGAATAGATTAGTATGGAATCACAAGACATGTAAAGTTTGCTAACTGTTTGCTGAGTAACAAGAAGTAAGGATACCTTAAATTCCTTTTTCTCTTCCCTGGTCGAGGGAAGGTTGTTGCTATGGGTTTGAGCCCATTCATCAGCCATCTTGATAAGAATGACGACGTAAGGAATGTGCTTATGAGCAATCGGATCTGGTGTTTTTATATCAACGGTCTCCACAAACCTGCCATTCATTAAATAATAGAGATTTCATATCAACCTCATCAATTCATAATTTGGGCAACAACAAGTACTAGTCAATTCACAAGGTTAAAGACTGGTAAGAGAGCATATTAACGGAGGATATGGAAGCAGAGTACCTCGTGAGTTCAGGCCAGGGATTATTCAAGCGGAGATCATCAAGAAAATGATCGGGCTTTGAATCAATAATGGCGTGCTCCTGATAGGTGAGAAAAGATATGACTTAGCATACTAACAATGAAAAATGCCTAACACTTGACTACAAGAGAGTTTTTTTTCTTCTGAAATTAGTACCTTTACACTGATACGAACAAACCCAGTAAGGCCATAGGAGCGAGCAAATACCAGCTTGACATTTGCTTCTCGGCAGATTCTATCTAATTTCACCATTAAATCTTCCACTAGCTACAATCAACACATGGTGAACTAATAAAGCAATGCTCTGTGAATTCTGAATACAAAGACTAGAAACTATCATGCTTGCTAATCCTAAGACAAGATCTGTGACTGATCATAGGTGCTCGATATTTGAAATTTTCATGCAAAGGTATCTAGTCGGCCAATTCAAAGAAAGATAGATAAATACAAAGAGGCGAATCTACTCTCGAGCTGAGAGACTCCAAAGAGAAGGTTCATGGTTTAGGAGCAAGAAAATCTTTTTATTGTACCTGAGTGGCAACAACGAGAGTGAACTGAGAGAAGAAAGACGGGTTTGTGATTATCAAAGTGTCTGGATTCTCCTCAATAAAGTTGGCTTTAACAGCATCGTTAAGCTCCTGAAGAAATGCACAGACACACTTGGCTTTTGAGTGACCAACACTCTTCTCATCCACTTTTCACATAAAACAATCAACAAATACGCCCAAAGTAAGTTCCCCAATTACTACCAGCAAACAAATATGAACAACACATTGCGATGTAAAGAGTGTTGAGGAGAGAATGATACCCATGAAATTGTTTCCAAGGTCTCCAATTTCTACTTTGGATCCGTCGACAATGGTGATGCTTCCGATACCACCAAGAACGAGATTCTTGAGGGTTTCTGAGCCAGTAGGGCCGCAATTAAGCAAGCAGATGCTCGCGTTTTCCAGAGCCGCTTGACCTAATTCTCCCCAAATCCTACGATTGTTCTTCCCAGTCATCACAGTTACGAATAAAAATCTCGAATTTGATGAAACGGAGGAGAAAGAAAGAGTTTTTTTACCTGAGTTGACGATCGTACTTGGTTTTCTTGGGCTCCGACATTGTTGGTTCTTGCTCAACTCTTTTCATGGGTTCTTCAATGGTTCGCGTCTCAGCTGCAGAGAGAGAGAGAGACAGAGACAGAGAGACGCAGAGAGGTTATGGAGAAAAGAATGGCATTTTACGAGAACACTAGCTTAATTAATATTTAACTAATAAATTGATGTTAAGAATCACACTAAGAAATGTAAGGTTTTATGATAGTTTATAGGAGAAATCCCAAATGGTTCTTAATTTTTTTTTTATATATAAAACATTATTGATACATGAAAATTATGATAATGTAACATACAAACATTTAAAATACAAATATTTTCCTTATAAGATCAATTATATTGATCTCTAAATTTTTGCCATATATACTCAATCAAATCGTATTTCAATTGTTCATGCTTCTCTTTATCCTTAACTCTTCTTCGAGCATTCATCATATTAGTGATATTTGAAAGCATGTTTGTAGAATATGAGAGATCAACTTGTGAACTTTCGTTTCATTTTCTTTCTTGAAATCCTGAAACATCTAATAAAGTGTTCTCACCTCGTTCGTCTTCTACTATCAATGTTCTACTATCAATGTTGTGGAGGATGATACATGCTCTCATAATTTTTTCTATTTTTTCTTTATCCCAAGAAAGAGCCGGATTTTTAACGATGGCAAATCGAGACTGCAAGACTCCAAAAGCACGCTCAACATCTTTTCGGATAGATTCTTGATGTTTAGCAAAACATTTTGCTTTTAAACCCTGGAGAAGTTTAATAGATTGGACAAACGTAGCCCATTTGGGATAAATACCATCTGTGAGATAGTAAGCCAAATGATACTCGTTTCTGTTGACAGAAAAATTCACTTCCAGAGCTTGACCATTTATTATATCATCAAAGACAGAGACCGATCAAGAACATTTATATCGTTTAAGGTACCTGGAGGTCCAAAAAACGCATGCCATATCCAGAGATCATAGGATGCTACCACTTCTAAAACGATTGTAGACTTTCCGGAACCACGAGTATATTGCCCTTTCTAGGCAGTGGGACAATTCTTCCACTCCCAAAGCATACAGTCGATGCTTCCTATCATCCCGGGAAATCCTATATCCTCTCCAACATGAAGTAGTCTTTGAAGATCCTCTGCTGTGGGTCGTCGTAGATACTCATCACCGAAGAGAATTATTATTGCGTCGACAAATTTTTCCAAACATAAACGAGCAGTACAAGCACTGAGACAGAGGTATTCATCAACCGTATCAAGCGCGGTGCCATATGCCAAGAGACGGATTGCTGCTGTACACTTCTGAAGTGGAGAGAGACCAGACCTTCTGGTAGCATCAACCTTGTGTTGAAAATAAAAAATTTCATTGGAAAGCCGATCGACAATGTGCAAGAACAATGGCTTATTCATTCTGAAATGCCGTCATGGCCGGGTATAATGCATCTTCAGCGAAATAATCGTTCCATAAACGATTGTGGCCTTCTTCATGGTTTCTTTCGATAACCGTTCTTTTTTTTTCGTGGCTTCCGTGGCTCTACTTAATCACCATAAGCAAGTAAGAGATTTTCAAATGATTGATCAAATTGTTGATCAAAATATTGATCAAAATATTCATCAAAATGTTGATCAAAATTATCAGGGTTTGAAGAAGAAGCCATTTTAGAAAAGAAGATTATTTGGCAATCAGATTGGTGTTTATGAGAAAAAGAGAAGATGGCGTATGGTGTAAAGAGGTGGGAATTTGAGGAAAATGGTTTTGAAAAAAAAGACGATGAACAAAAATATTGATCGCTTTTGCAAATAGAAAGAGAAGCTTTTGACAAATAGAAAGAGAAGGAAATGACAAATAGAAAGAGAAGTCTCTGAATTGTTTGGTGAATTTTATGAACATCGAGTGGCAATATATATAGTCTAAAGACATTGTATACATGTGGACATTGTTTAGTATTTGGATAGCTACAAATACAACACAACCAATGAGAAAAAAACAAAAAACAAACCCCACATGGTTTAACTTTGTGTCACGAGGAGCTTTTTCTTATATTATACACTTGTAACTTTGTGTCACGAGGAGCTTCTTCTCATATTGTACACTTGTATCTTTGTGTCACGAGTCTACAAAAAAAAACAATGTCCATTAACATAAAGCAACAAACATTAAAAGAAACAAACAAACATTAACATAAAGAACTAAACACAACAACAACAAAGTTATCACTTTTCATTGCTTTAAAAAACACAAACTGATGCACAATACACTTTCTTAGAAACAAAGTTATCACTTTTCATTGAAGGCAAACAAAGTTACAACGTCAACACAGAAAACACAACATCATAGTCACTTAATATATTAGAAGCAAAACAACACCAACACTTAAAGATAAACACATAACAAATACTACATAACAACACCAACACTTAAAGAAGATTAATTTCAACAGTCTCTTAGAACACAAACTTGAAAGCACTTAAATATCCATCAGCTCGTTGATGAGCTTTCTCTTGTAAGCTTCTTCATACTCAGCTAACGGTCCTTCTTTTGCAAGCAATTTGTCTAGCACACTCATCTTAGTCACTCTTTCCTTCGTAGCATTATCCTTCTCCCTGAAGCTCCACATGGTTTGAAAGTCTTCTTTGGCCACCACCGTTTGTCTCTTAGCGAGGCCTTTAGCTGCCTTAATACCAGGTGGCCTTTTGCTTCCAGAAGCCTCTCCACCAGTCATTGACTCCTCAGCTTGAGAGGTTGCGGTTTGTGGACCAACATCACATCTTCTCTTTTTTGTGCTTCCACCCGTTTTTGAAGCAGAGAGCTCACACCATTTTTGATCATTTCTAAGCTCCTTCCAAGCATATTCCAGTGTAAATTTCTTTTTGTAGTTGTTGTAGTACAACTCATGGGCAAGCTTCAAGACATCATTTTCATTCTGTCCACTTGTCCTCTCTCTTGATGCTGCTTCGTAGGAGCCACAAAATTTGTTGACAAGATCATTGATCTTTTGCCAACGTTGCTTGCAATGTCCTGGCTCCCTCATTTCTCGACCTGCAGCCATTGGACAAGCTGCAAAGTAAACAGCAACATGGGACCAGAAGGCACCATTCTTTTGCTCATTCGCCACTACAAGGTCCTTTGATGTGTTCAACCAGGAGCTGATGAGCAACACATCATCAGCCGGCATCCATATTCTTCTTGTGCTTCTTTCTTTAGGCGGAGCTTCACCATGGATGGATGCCTCAGTACATTGGTGTATTAAAGAGAGGAACTGGGTCGAATGTGTGAAAGGGCTCATGTTGGGAAGTCTCTTGTTGACTGTTCAACAGATCAACAAAGTTTGAGGGTTGGGAGTATGGATTGTTAGAGGAGAAATCCATAAAAGGAAATGGTTAGAGAAAAAAAGGAGAATGATGTTTACGGTTTATAGGTGAGAAAGAGAAGAAGTTGTGTTTGAACATATTAAAGAAAGAGAGAAAGGGTTTGATTATTAATAGAAGAGAAGAAGGAAAGAAGAAAAAGATTTCAGAACTCATCAATGCATTCATTACACCTAAAGCAAAAGGTTTAACCATATCGACTAAAACAATGCATTCATCACAACTAAAGCATTCATTTTAACTAGAGGAGAAATCCATAAAAGGAAAAGGTTAGAGAAAAATAGAAGAATGATGTTTACGGTTTGCAGGTGACAAAGAGAAGAAGTTGTGTTTGAACAGATTAAAGAAAGAGAGAAAGGGACCGATTATTAATAGAAGAGAAGAAGGAAAGAAGAAAAATATCTCAGAAAAAAAAGATTAATAGAAGAGAAGAAGGAAAGAGAGAAATGGACCGATTATTTATGCATTCATTACACCATATTGACTTGAATAATATCTACTAAAACAATGCATTCATCACAACATTCATTTTAACTAAACTATGCTTCAACTAGCTTCAAATAGCTTAAAGTAAACAATGCATTCATCACAAAAACCAACTATTCTTCACAACTAGCTTAAACTAAATCATTTACTACGGCAGCTGGTAAACTTACCTGCAAAGCTCCCAAAGTCAAAGCTCCCAAAGCTCCCCAAGCCATGCCTTTGTTAATACATACTGCCAACAATAACCAAACACAATGAATTAGACAAGTTAACAAAGAAAATACTCATCCGCAACAAACAAAAATAACCAAGTTCAACATAGAAAATAAAACTTGAAGTTCAACTTCTACTATGTATCATTCATGCCCTCCTAAAACAAAAGCAACATAGATATAAAACCCAACAAATAGCTCCTACCCGATCAAAAGCAAATTCTCAACAGAGAATCTTAAAAGAACACAACACAAAATCCTAAAAGAACACAAATTCTCACGGAACAGATCAAAGAGAGATGATACACATAAGAAATAAAGCATTCATGCTTACAGATTCCTCAAAAACCCAACTACGAAATCCTATTCGATCACAACCAATTCCAACAAAGAAATACAACCAAACAATAAAATTCCAAAATGATAATAAGTTCCCATGAAAGATATCGACCAGCGATGATACAAAGAACAAATTTTATCAACTCATCCCACACAATACGAATTTTACAAAAAAAACCCTAATTTAACAAAGAAGGAGAACGCATAAATAGAGAAGACAATAAATAGATTGAAGAAATAACTTATCTAGCCATCGTCTGAGGGATCTCCGGACACCGGCGGCCATCTACTTCATCGGAATCTTCGCATGGTGGCACCGGTTGCGATTAGGTCGAGCAAATTTTTTTTCGCCGATAACGTTTGGGTCCAGGAAATATTTTGGCCGAAGAGAAGAAGTTTGGCCGAAAAATTTTTGGTCAGCCACCTGTCCCGCAAGAAGCGGTTCTCCAGCTTCCCAAATAAGGACCAATCCCAACATTTTATTTATTTTTCCTTTTTTTGGGCTTTAAAAACACAAGAACCAGCCCAAGATACCCCTGATAAACGTGCCCTTATTATTTCTCTCTATCTCCTAAATTTGGAATATTTACAAAATTTAGAGGAAAAATAGCCGATGAATTTTTTTTTTTTTTGTAATATAAATACAAATGGAAAAAAATACACATAAATCTATGATATATTGCTAGATTAAGATATTTCATTATTTAGAAACACATCAAAAAATTCTATTAACATTTATATAAATTGTAAAAAAACGTTAAAAATATTATAGGAAAAAAGTATACGCATGTGATAATTCAAATAATGAAATTTCAATACTATTAAATAGTGATCAAAAGTCTCATTCAGTTGTGACAATATATTTTATTTTAAGCCAGCAATTTTATGAAAAACTCCCATTCCTTTTTTGCCTTGCCAAGTGACATCTCTCTGTTCTTAACTTCCTAATTAGGAAAAACTACAGAATTAGCAAAAGTAAATAAAATAAAATATTGAGGAATGTATATTGATTAAGAAGATTCAAATAGTTTTTTTTGTTGTTGTCGGAAGATTCAAATAGTTTAAGAAGATCTGTTGACAAAATAGCTTAAGAAGATTCAAACTTTTGAAAGAAAAAAAAAAGAGATTAACAACACATGTCAAATAACATTTTCTATGGAATTTCAGAATATGGGTCGTTTGATGTAGGCCCAATGTTCAAAAAATCGCTAGGCGTTAGTGGGGCGGTCGAGGTCCGCCTAGCGCCTAGACAAAAATCAGGATTAATCAGAGATTAGTTTTATATTTATTGTAATTATTTTTTAATATTTATTTATTTTTAAAGATTAGTTTTGTTATATTAGAGTATATATGAACTAAATTTTGTGAAAATATATGCATAATGGTAGATCTAAAAGCATATTGGTGGATTGAAGACCCATATTTAACTCAAATCCATAAATATTCATGACATTTTTTTTTGAAAGTAGGTCTTTTTAGTTGTCCCACATCGACAAACTTGAATAATTGAGAAGGGGAAGCTGCACTGTAAATATGAGACCTCATCACTTATTCAGTTAAAACATTCTCATCTTCTGGTCGAGATTGGGCCTGATACCGGGCCCGAATTATATTTAAAGATCTCGATTATTAACCAAGTCAACGATTTTTTTACCAAGTCAACGATTTTTTAAAATAATCGGTGATTAGGCGGAAAAAAATCGGTTACCGCCTAAACCGACCGCCTACCCTGAAATCGCGGCGGTATGCCCCGATTAATTGTCTAGGCGGGTGATTTTTTGAACACGGGATAAGCTTAGAATAACGGGCCCCACAACTCTTATAAACGGCGCCTTGGACTATACTCTATGGATAGGATAGGACATGAAAGCTGAAACAAAAAAAGAAGCTCTTCAGTCACATGTTCTTAGTTTGATTTCGATGTGATGACTTTGTGGGTATAATTTGGTTTCTATAGTTTTGGGTTTTTCTGTTTTCCCCTTTAGGAATCTGGCTCCTGTTCGATCATGGCTTTTTTTTCTTTTTTCTTTTTTTTGGTTCCTCCTGTTAAAAATTCGTTGCTTTGTCGTAAAATTTCCCTTTTTTAGCTTATGCCTGCGACGTGTTTGCGTATATTTCGTAGAGAACCTGAAGCTTGCTGAAAGAGACAAGAGAACTTCTCACTGTTGAACTGATTCTTGTCTGGTAAACTTGTCTTTTGATTCGGTTTCGGCTGTTACTCTAATCCCCTCTGTTTCGCTTCTTATTATCTTCCATGATTTTTTAAAAACCCTTCATCAAGACCAGAGGAGTTTCTGTATACTAGTCTTCTTATCCACATTGTTGCCTATTTTAGCTAATTTTCTCTATTTGATTCGACTTTTGCTTGCTTAGATCTTGATTCGATTTTCTCCTACTTAGTAGTCAGGTTGATTCAACAAGTCAATATTTGAAACCTTACATTGATTTATTTCCTCTGGTTCTTGCCTAGGAAGGTGGATTGATCTCTATTCTTCTCATCCTCAATGGCTTGAAGAGCTATTTGATTAAAAGAGATGGTTCTAGCTCTAACAGGAATTTTCTGAACTGTTCCTTAGTTTGATTGCATTGTCTCCATGGCACTGCGCATTGACCCATATATGGCTGTAACGGCATTGATTGTGGCCGTTCTGGTGGTTCCAATGTGTTGCCAAAGGCCTCAAGTGGTGAAACTCGGTGCTGTTTTCGCATTTGATTCGGTTATTGGAAAAGCTGCAAAAATAGCTCTCGAGGCAGCTGTCTCTGATGTGAACGCAGACACAAGCGTTCTCAGAGAAACTGAGCTACGGCTGCTCATGGAGGACTCTTCCTGCAATGTCTTTCATGGGTCCTTCGGAGGTACCGTGACTGGTTCTCAAGTTCTTTTGTGTTCAAACACTTACCATTTTGGGATCATCTTATTGGCTTGTTTAGAGTAAAGTTTTGGTCCAAAGTGGATTATTCCTCATTTTATGGTATCAAAGTGCGATTTACACAGGTTTCTACTTAGACGGTAGGTTATCCAGGATACCATTAAAGTGAAGTTTTTAAAAAGTATTATTGGAAATGAATGGCACATCAATTATGTTTTGAATCAGTTTTTATCAGTATTTCGGGTCCCAATGCCAATTATACATAGAACATTAGACCTCAGATCCCATACATTTAATAGAACATGTGTTTCATGTACATCATTGGAAGCGTAACTTTGGTTTTACGACCACTATTAGCATGGTTTAAGTTCCAGTGGTTGTTGTTTTTGCAGCTTTTCAAGTGCTTGAGAAAGAAGTGGTGGCTATGATCGGTCCAATTTCATCCTCCATCGCTCATACATTGTCAGATGTTGCCAAAGGGCTCCAGTTCCCTCTCGTCTCATTTGCAGCAACTGATCCAACTCTCTCTGCCCTCCAATTTCCCTTCTTTCTTCGGACTACACCTGATGATGCCCACCAGATGTCTGCCCTTGTGGATCTTATCAATTACCATGGATGGAAAGAGGTGATATCGGTTTACTCAGATGATGAACTCGGTAGAAATGGAGTTTCTGCTCTAGATGATGAACTCTACAAGAAAAGATCCAGAATTTCCTATAAAGTGCCACTTTCTGTGCATTTTGATGAAAAATCCATTACTGATGCTTTGAAAAAATCCAAGTCCCTTGGTCCTCGAGTCTATATTCTTCACTTTGGCCCTGCCCCATTGCTCAAAATTTTTAGTATAGCGCAAAAGCTGCGGATGATGACCCATGAATACGTGTGGCTAGCCACCGACTGGCTCTCAGTTACCTTAGATTCTTCTTTGATTGACAAAGGTAAATTAAAACGTCTTGAAGGAGTAGTGGGCCTTCGTCAACACATCCCAGAATCCGTAAAGATGCACCAATTCACTCAAAAACTGAAGAGTAACAGATCAATGAATGCCTACGCATTCCATGCCTATGATACAGTGTGGATGATTGCATACGGCATCGAGAAATTGCTGAATGAAAGAATCAACATAACGTTCTCCTACTCCGAGAAGTTAATTCATGCACAAGGTGATAAACTGCACCTGGAGAGAGTCAAAATTTTTGACAGCGGGAAGTTACTACTTAAGAAACTTCTGCAGGTGAACTTCACTGGTATAGCTGGTCAAGTTCAGTTTGGTTCTGGTCGAAATGTCATCAGCTGTGACTATGAAATTATCAATGTAGACAAAGCTGGTGTTCATACTGTGGGTTTCTGGTCGAAAAATGGAGGCTTTTCGGTTGTAACCCCAGAAACTCGACAAAGACAAAAGAAGACTGCCTTGGTTTCTGATGAAAAACTTGGTAACATAACCTGGCCAGGTGGTGGCCATGAAAAGCCGCGTGGTTGGGTCATTGCAGATTCCGCAAATCCGTTGAAGATTGTTGTCCCAAAAAGAGTGAGCTTTGTTGAGTTTGTGACCGAAGAAAAGAACAGTAGCCATCAGATCAAAGGATTTTGCATCGACATCTTCATTGAAGCATTGAAGTTCGTCCCTTACAGTGTTCCTTACATATTTGAGTCATTCGGGAATGGCAATTCAAGTCCTAACTACAACCAGCTTATTCAAATGGTCGCAGATGGCGTAAGTATCCACTTAATAAATGTTCAAACCTGATTCGAAAAGTCTCAGATTTCTCAGAGTAAGTTTTACTGAGATTATGGTTGGGCATTTCCCTGTTTTCAGGTATATGATGCAGCTGTTGGGGATATTGCTATAATCCCAACTCGATCCAAATTAGTAGATTTTTCGCAGCCATATGCATCCACAGGCCTTGTGGTGGTAATCCCAACTAACGACGACAATGCCACTTGGATCTTTCTGAGACCTTTCACCATTAGGTTATGGTGTGTTGTTCTAGCCTCATTCCTGGTTATTGCCGTAGTCATCTGGATCCTCGAACATCGCATCAATGAAGATTTCAGAGGGCCACCTCGAAGACAACTTAGCACAATGATCTTGTAAGTCCATGTCGTATTATTCACTGACCTTAATAGTTCATTCTTGAAGTTTTCTCTGACATTTATAGCTTGATTTGTCCTTGCAGGTTCAGCTTCTCAACTCTTTTCAAGAGAAATCGTGAGTACATTTGATCTCTTCCATCTTTCTTCAGCACCATCAAAGCAAGAGAAAGATAAATGTTTGATAGAGTTACATTTACGAATCTGTCTGGTACATATTTGACTCTAGATTTGGTTTGTTTATCAACTCACATCTGCGATCTTGCTGTTTTATCCTGTTTTGTCAACAGAGGAAGATACGATAAGCAATCTAGCTAGACTAGTGATGATTGTATGGCTCTTCCTATTGATGGTTCTTACCGCTAGCTACACAGCGAACCTCACCTCAATCCTCACAGTTCAACAGCTTCCCTCTGCCATTACCGGCATCGACAGCTTGCGGGCAAGTCAGGTGCCTATCGGTTACCAGCCTGGGACGTTCACTGTAGAGTACTTAACTTACAGTCTTGGCATGGCTCGGTCTAGACTGGTCCCACTTGACTCGACTGAGGAGTATGAAAGGGCTCTAAAGCTAGGACCAACCGCTGTGGGAGGCGTAGCTGCGATTGTTGACGAGCTCCCTTACATTGAACTGTTTTTAGCGGATCGGACGGGTTTCAAGATTGTAGGAGAGCCTTTTATGCACCGTGGTTGGGGATTTGTAAGTGCATTTTTTACGTTTCTCTTAATCAGAAGAGCTACGGTAATCACACAAGATTTGAGATTTTTGTTTCTATTTGTTCAACAGGCGTTTAAGAGAGATTCTCCACTGGCTATAGACATGTCAACAGCGATCTTGAAACTCTCTGAAACGAGAAAATTACAAGACATTCGGAAGAAATGGTTATGCAAGACGAATTGCGCAGAGAAATCAGACTGGAACCCAGAGCCAAACCAGCTTCATCTTAAGAGCTTCAAAGGGTTGTACCTTGTCTGCATTGCAATCACGGTCTCTGCGTTTTTGGTGTTTGTTCTCAGGATGATACGCCAGTTCGTACGGTACAGACGGATGGAGAGGACAAGCTCGACGCCGCGTGCTTCTTGGTCGTCTTCTCCTACGATGCGGTTAAGGGAATTGGTGTTTGATTTCGTGGAGTTTGTGGATGAGAAAGAAGAAGCTATCAAGAGAATGTTTAGAAGGAATGATGACATCAACAACACATCTCATGTTGTGGAAGTCCAAGCTGATTCTGAAGTACGACAAAGTTAATTAGTAGTTTCCACTCTATATATAGAAACAAAGTTGTAATGTAATTAGATAAGAGCTAACATGTAAGTCAATATTCGATTCTCTATTCATTAGATTTGATTGTAACTTAGCAACATAAAAAGCTGGTTAGAGCCAATGATTATTACCATGATTATAGCTATACATAGTATCTTAGAGTTCATCGCATACCAGCTTCTTTTTTTCCGGGTATTTATAATCTCAAATATCCATGTTCTAAGATTCTTCTTGAATTTGGGTTTTATCTGATAGGGTTTGGTACAATAAGAATACCTAAAATTTCAAAAGTCAATCCATTCCAAACTTTGATACATCTTTAATTGTTTATTGGCTCCTTAGAATAAAAAACAGATTGGATCTTTATGTGCGTAATTGCGTATGAACGTATGTGTACCCATTACTTTTCTTTAATCATTGCCACGTTCTATAGAGTATGAACTCGTGAACGTGAACTTTTCTTTTATACAACTTGGAGCTTTATCTTATTACACTTTTTTAATATGCTAATTTGTTTTGTCTGACCAACTATTTGCTATTTCTATTAATTTATTGCCATCTCATGGAGTTTCTGATCACTCACTTTAATTGTTAATTTATAGTTGTTCCATGTTTTTTTACCTTTTTTCTGAACCATGACTGAGATAGTTTCAGTTCTGTTTCTCATTTTGGCGCTAATCTCTACAGAATCTTAGATAATTATATACACACACACATATACATATATGTAAAAAATAAGTCTTTGATTCGTAGTTAGATAATTTGTACAGCTTTTTGTCTTTCTGTTTGACCCATATTTGTCTCTTGATGTTGATGTTAACGGTCGTTAATGCCTCTTCGATCAACAATTGAATCATCAAATGGGTATTTCATGAGCCCGTAAAAACCATTCCTTTCGGGTCAAAAATCTGACAAAAAGATGGAATTTTTCGTGATGATTAGTGGTGTTTCCATGGGATTTATGCGAGCGACAGGCTACAAAGCCATAATCTCGAAACAAAAGGGTTCAAATGCCTAATTTTATTACGATTTTCTTTAACTAAGGAAAATCGTGAAAAATCCTTCTTTCTCCTTGTTTATCACTTTATTTACAATAAAACCAGGATCATATCCATCCAATTTCAGACCCATCCACTAACTTATTTTATTATTAATTATCTAAATTTTTTTTTTCTTTTCCAACAATTTCTTTTAATTTTTTTTAATTCTTTTTCTTTAATTATCATTTTTTTCTCTCATCTTCATCATCCACATTCCGACGATAGATTCCAAAAATCACCAAAATTATATCTTCATCATCCAAACTTTGTCTCTTTATCATCTGCAATCAGTTTCTTATCTTTATCTCCTCTCTCCACCACCATTGTTGAAACTTCAAAACCCAATTAGGTTTTTATTTAGAGATTTAGGGATTTCACAATTTAGAGATTGGATTTGCCAAAATTGCTTGTTCAGTATGTAAATCGGGTTGGTAACCCAGTTTTATGTGATGATTAGGTCTTTGCATAGATAATTTATCGAATATAGTTGTTGAATTAAAATCTGAGTTCATCACCAAATCTGCAGAAGAGGACAACTGGTACGAATGGTACAACTAAGAGATAAGAGGACAACTAGTACAATTGGTACAACTATAAGATACAGGACAACTGGTACAAATAGGTATAACTAAGACAACTTAAATAATTGTTGATTTCTTTTATTATAATTGAAAATCGGGTTGGTAACCCAATTTTATGTGACGATTAGGTATTTGCATGGATAATTTCTTAAATATAATCGTTGAATCGTAGTGATTCTTAGGTAAATTATAATTATACCTGAGTTCATCACCAAATCTGCAGAGGAGGACAACTGGTACAAATGGTACAACTAAGAGATAAAATGACAACTAATACAATACTGTATATTGGTACAACTATGAGATATATGACAACTGGTACAAATAGGTATAACTAAAACAACTTAAATAATTGTTGATTGAAAATTCTTTTATTATAATTGCAAATCGGGTTGGTAACCCAATTTTATGTGACGATTAGGTATTTGCATGGATAATTTCTTAAATATAATCGTTGAATCATAGTGATTCTTAGGTAAATTATAATTATACCTGAGTTCATCACCAAATTTGCAGAGGAGGACAACTGGTACGAATAGTACAACTAAGAGATAAGAGGACAACTAGTACAACTGATACAACTATGAGATAGAGGACAACTAGTACAAATGGATATAACTAAGACGACACCTTGAGTAATTGTTAATTAAGAATTGTTTTACTATATTTTCAAGAGATAATGAGCATCAGCCACACAAGCAATTCAATAGATTTTATATCATTTAATACCTCATATTTGGAGCAGATAACTTATTCGGTATTACTAGATAAGATATTGTATGTAAGAAGATTGCGATATATGAAACTAAACAGATTTGGAGTAGATAATTTATGTGGAGAATGAATTGCACACTTCAAATAACTAAGTGAAGTATTTCTGATAATATACAAGAATTTTTTGTCATACTGCCGAATTACACCAAAAAAAAATAACAAAGTGGTTTCTATTCTCCGAAAAACGTCGCCGAAAGACAAAAATGGATAATAAATTAGATAAGTGGTTTCAGAGCAAAAATAGCATAGAAACTTAATTTGTGTAAGTTTTCGAGTTTATTTTATCCGAAAAGATTTTATTTTAGCTAAGGAAATACATTTTAGCCGAGGAATTTTCATTCTCGATAGCCTTAGACTGTATAGGAGTATTTTGGAGTTATTTGTATTTTGGATTTCTTTGATTTCTTTGATTTATTGCATTACTATTTATTTTGGAGTTATTGGTATTTTGGATTTCTTTGATTTCTTTCATTACTATTTATTTTGGAGTTATTTGTATTTTAAATTTCTCCAGGACAACTAGGTGCAACTCGGGACAACTATATTTTAATTGTAGTGTTAAAAAATAAATTCCTATATTATTTACTTAAAAGCCAATATAACTCATACCCTAAAAACTGTATCTTTTCACGTTTATACTAGAAATAATAAAATAAAACTTTGTTTTGTTCAAAGAACCAAATATTTTTGGTTCACTTGAAACAGCCCTTATGTTATAAGGAAGTCTTTGACAATGTTAGCCATCTTATGCAAGCGTCTATGCAAAAATATAGGAAATAGAAAAATAATAACGCAAAATCTTTGGGGCTGCTATATAATGATCGAAATTCTTGTGGACAACTAGAACATAATAATTTACGTCGAAGGACAACTGAAAAAATTACAAAATCGATCAAAGGACAATTATTACAAATTTTGGACAACTGGACAACTAGGTACAACTATGTTGTCAGTTGTAGACGCACGTGCGCCAACAAAAAGAGACATGTGCGCAGTCAAAGTACCACGTGCGCCGCCAATTTTGTACATAGTTGTATCCAGTTGTCCAATTGTCCAAAATTCTTCATAGTTGTCCTTTGGCGATTTTAGCAATTTTTCCAGTTGTCCCTTGATATAAATTATTACTTTGTAGTTGTCCACATAATTTTCGACTATTGTAGTCCATTTACAACATTTTCATATTATAATTTATGCAAAATCATATTTTTGGCTTTTCCATCATAAGATTGTTAACATCATCAAAGTCTTCTTTGTATCATAACGGGTGTTTGATGTAAAACCAATAATATGTATTAGAAAAATGATAATTTCATGTTATCCATCTTTTTAATTTTATTCCTTATAGTTTACAACTTTTTTACATTTTTAGGTGAATGTTTGCTTTTTATATTTATACTTTTATCATAATTATTTTCTAATGAAAGAATTGCATATAGTTGTACATATGTGTCCAGTTGTACCTTGTTTATTTCCATCCGGAAAGCATCCTCACCTAAAAATGAAATCCTTTAGACTAGATTGACTTTTCTAAGTGTCTGGTTATCCGTCAAAGTAACATGTTCACCTATGTGCGATGTCAATTTTTGTATATAGTTGTACCTAATTGTACTAGTTTTTCTCTTCTGCAGATTTGGTGATGAATTCAGGTATAATTATAATTTACCTAAGAATCACTATGATTCAACAACTTTATTTAAGAAATTATCCATGCAAATACCTAATCGTTAGATAAAACTGGGTTACCAGTCCGATTTGCAATTATAATAGAAGAATTTTCAATCAGTAATTATTTAAGTTGTCTTAGTTATACATAATTGTACCACTTGTCCTCTATCTCAAAGTTGTACCAGTTGTACTAGTTGTCCTTTTATCTCTTAGTTGTACCATTCATACCAGTTGTCCTTCTCTGCAGATTTAGTGATGAACTCGGGTTTCAATTTCAATCTACCTAAGAATCACTACGATTCAACAACTATATTTGACAAATTATCTATGCAAATAACTAATCGTCACATAAATTGGGTTACCAACCCGATTTGCATACTGAACAAGCAATTTTGACAAATCCAATCCCTAAATTGTGAAATCCTTAAATCTCCAAATAAAAACCTAACTGGGTTTTGAAACTTCAACAATGGTGGTGAAGAAAGGAGATAAAGACAAAAAACTGATTACAGAGGATAAAAAAGGAGAAGAAGAAGAAGAGGCAAAGGCAAAGGATGAGATTTACAAGGTTTGGGGTTGAAGATGACGACATGAATTGGGAAAAAAAGAAAAAGAAAAATCATTTTTTAATTAATTTTCGTTTTAATTATAATATAATAATTATGAAATTATTTAAATATTAATTTTTGAATATAATCACATATGCCATAAACCAATTCATTAAGGGTAAAATGAGATTTTCATGTGATTTATGGCACTCAGACTCTAATATGGCACAGCAGATTTTTTGTTTCTAAATTATGGCATCCGAGCCATTCTTTCAGAGCGAGAGGCTAAAATGCCATAATCCAGAAAAAAATTGGCTCAAACGCCATAATTCTAAAATGAATTTTATTTCGATTTTTTTTTAATAAGGAAAACTGTGGAAAGTCCTTCCTTCTCCTTGTTATCTCTTATAATTACAATAAAACCAAGGTCATATCCACTTTTTTTGAGACCCACCCAATAACATATTTTATTTTTTATTTATTAATTATCTAAATTTTCTCTCTCTTCTCCAGCAATTTTTTTTCTTTTTTTAAATCTTTTTTTTAATTATCCTTAATTTTTTTGTTTTTCTACTCATCTTTATCATCGTTATTTCGACTAAAAATTCCAAAAATCATCAAAATTACATCTTCATCATCCAAACTTTTCCTCTTCATCCTCTGCAATCAGTTTCTTATCTTTATCCCCTCTCCTCACCACCATTGTTAAAACTTCAAAACCCAATTATGTTTTTATTTGGAGATTTAGAGATTTCACAATTTAGTGATTAATTTACCAAAATTGTTTGTTCATTATGCAAATCGGGTTAGTAACCCAGATTTATGTGACAATTAGGTTTTTTCATAGGTAATTTATCGAATATAGTTGTTGAATCGTAGTGATTCTTAGGAAGATTGAAATAAAACCCGAGTTCATCACCAAATCTGCAGAGGAGAACAACTGGTACGAATGGTACAACTAAGAGATATAGGACAACTAGTACAACTGGTACAACTATGAGATAGAGGACAATTGGTACAAATAGATATAACTAAGACAACTTAAATAATTGCTGATTGAAAATACTTTTATTATAATTGCAAATCGGGTTGGTAATCTAGTTTTATGTGACGATTAGGTATTTGCATGGATAATTTCTTAAATATAGTTGTTGAATCATAGTGATTCTTAGGTAAATTATAATTATACCTGAGTTCATCACCAAATCTGTAGAGAATGACAACTGTTACGAATGGTACAACTAAGAGATAAGAGAACAACTAATATAACTAGTACAACTGTGAGATACAGGATAACTAGTACAAATGGATAGTACTAAGACAGCTTGAATAATTGTTAATTGGAAAATTTTTATTATATTTTCAAGAAATGAACATCAGCCACACAAACAATTCAATAGATTTTATATCATTTTAATACCTCAAATTTGGAATAAATAGCTTATTCGATATTAGTAGATAAAATACTGTATGTAAGAATATTACGATATATGAAACTAAACAGCTTTGGAGTAGATAATTTATATGGAGAATGAATTGCACACATAAATAAAACTAAGTGGAGTATTTCTGATAATATACAAGAATTGTTTGTCTTACTGCTGAATTACACCAAAACAAAAATAAAAAATGGGCTTTATTCTCCAAAAAACGTTGCTGAAAGACGAAAAATGGATAATAAATTAGATAAGTGGTTTCAGAGCAAAAGTAGCATGTAAACTTAATTTGTGTATGTTTTCGGGTTTGTTTTATCCGAAAAGATTTTATTTTAGCTAAAAAAATTATATTTTAGCTGAGAAATATTCATTCTGGATATCCACATTATTCATTTTAGCAGAGAAAATCTTTTCCAATAAGGATAAACAATGTACAGTTAGACACGTATATACAATTATCTGTAACTATTTAATTTAAAAACAAGGTACAGCTAAATGAACGATTCAACTTATTTTAGTCTTAGAGTGTACAAGAGTATTTTGAAGTTATTTGTATTTTGGATTTCTTAGATTTCTTGCATTACTATTTATTTTGGAGTTATTTATATTTTGAATTTTTTGAATTTCTTTGATTTCTTTGATTTCTTGCATTACTATTTATTTTGGAGTTATTTGTATTTTGGAAATATTTGATTTCTTGCGTTAATATTTTTAATTTCTTCAGGACAACTAGGTGCAACTTGGTGCAATTACGTAATGAATTTCTCCAGAGCAACTAAGTGCAACTAGGTACAATTACCTTATGAATTTTTCTAGGACAACTATGTGCAACTCGGGACAACTATATTTTAATTGTAGTGTTAATACATTTTTTCCAGTTGTTCCTTAATATAAATTATTTTTTTGTAGTTGTCCACATTACTTTCGACTACTGAAGTCTATTTACAATATTTTCATACTAAAATTTATACAAAATCATAATTAAGTACAAATATAGAAGTTTCATGATCTAACTTCTATGGTACAACTAAGTACAACTATGGACAACTAAGTATAACTATTCACATCCACAAAGTTGTATAAAGTTGTCCTTACTTGTCCAGTTGTCTTTTGCTTATTCACATCCACGAAGCTAGAGAACACGTGCCCCGACAAAAATAGACATGTGCGCAGTCAAAATACTACGTGCGCCGTCAATTTTATACATAGTTGTACCCAATTGTCCGGTTGTCCAAAATGCTTCATAGTTGTCCTTTGACGATTTTAGCATTTTTCCAGTTGTCCTGAAATATAAATTATTATTTTGTAGTTGTCCACATGATTTTCGACTATTGCAGTTCATTTACAAGGTTTTCATAACACAAATTATGCAAAATCATATATTTGCATCTTTTCCATCAAGTTTTTTTGGTTTCATTTGAAATAGCCATTATATTATAAGGAAGTCTTTGACAATGTTATCCATCTTATGCAAGCGTCTATGCAAAAATATAAAAATAGAAAAATAATAACGTAAAACCCTTGGGGCTGTTATATAATGTTCGAAATTCTTGTGGACAACTAGAATATAATAATTTCTGTCGAAGGACAACTGAAAAAACTACAAAATCGATGAAAGGACAACTATTACAAATTTCGGACAACTGGACAACTAGGTACAACTATGTTGTCTGTTGTAGACGCACATGTGAAATACAACTGGTACAACTGATATAATTATGTAATTTAAAATTATAATTAAAATCTATTAAAAATTAATAAAAATACACATGTGCGTCGACAAAAAAGAACATGTGCGCAGTCAAAGTACCACGTGTGCCGTCAATTTTGTACATAGTTGTACCTAGTTGTCCAGTTGTCCAAAATTCTTCATAGTTGTCATTTGGCGATTTTAGCATTTTTTTCAGTTGTCCCTTGATATAAATTATTATTTTGTAGTTGTCCACATAATTTTCGATTATTGTAGTCCATTTCTAATATTTTCATACTACAATTTATGCAAAATCATAATTTTGGCTCTTTTCCATCATAAGATTGTAAACATTATCAAAGTCTTCTTTGTATCAGAAGGGATGTTTGATGTGAAACCAATAATATATATTAGAAAAATGATAATTTTATATTATCCATCTTTTTAATTTTATTCCTTATACTTTACGACTTTTCTACATTTTTTAAGTGGATGTTCACTTTTTATATTTATAGTTTTATCATTATTATTTTCTAATGAAAGAATTACATATAGTTGTATATATGTGTCCAGTTATACCTTGTTTATTTCCATCCGGAAAGCATTTTCGGCCAAAAATGAAATCCTCTAGACTAGATTAACTTTCCTAAGTGTCTAGTTATCCGTCAAGGTAACATGTGCACCTATGTGCATTGTCAATTTTTGTACATAGTTGTACATAATTGTACATAATTGTACTAGTTGTCCCTCTCTGCAGATTTGCTGATGAACTCATATATAATTATAATTTACCTAAGAACCACTATGATTCAACAACTATATTAAAAAAATTATCCATGCTAATCGTCAGATAAAACGGGGTTACCAACCCGATTCACAATTATAATAAAAGAACTTTCAATCAACAATTATTTAAGTTGTCTTAGTTATACCTATTGTACCAGTTGTCTTCTATCTCATAGTTGTATCAGTTGTACTAATTGTCCTCTTATCTCTTAGTTGTACTATTTGTACCAGTTGTCCTTTTTCTGCAGATTTGGTGATGAACTCGGGTTCTAATTATAATATATCTAAGAATCACCATGATTTAACAACTGAATTCGAAAAATTATCTATGCAAAGACATAATCGTCACATACCAACCCGATTTGCATCTAGAATAAACAATTTTGGCAAATCAAATCTCTAAATTTTGAAATCCCCAAATCTGTAAATAAAAACCTAACTCGATTTTAAAACTTCAACAATAGTGGTGGAGAAAGGAGATAAAATAAGAAACTGATTGCAGAAGATGAAGAAGAAAAGGAAGAGGCGAGGATTCAACAGTGAAAATGAGATTTGCTTGTTTTCAGAATCCACCGACGAAGAAGAAGAGCATGAATTTTTTTTTTATTATTAATTTTCGTTTTAAATTATTAATTTTAATAAAATCAATTATTTTTTCACCAAATTCAAAAATGCCACAAAAATTTCATTAAGAGTAAATTGGGAATTCTATATATATTATGGCAAGTAGATTTGTTTATGGCACCAGCAGATTTTTTTTTTTTCAATTGTGGCATTATAGCCATATAACCGATTTATGCTCCTATGTGTTTCCGGCTTCTGGGTTTTGCCAACGGAAGGTGCTGGTACAGAAGGTTTCTCAAGAAACTCTTCTTCTTCTTCTTCTCGGTCAAGCTCTGTCAACGTTGGAGCTCTGTTTACTTATGATTCTTTCATCGGAAGAGCAGCCAAACTTGGGATTATGGTGGCCATTGACGACTTTAATGCTGATCAGAGTATTCTCGGGGGAACCAAGCTCAATGTTGTCTTTCATGACTCAAACTGCAGTGGATTTGTTGGCACCATGGAAGGTACTTTTCATAAACTGTTAGCCAAATGGAATAGCTTGTTAGATATGCCTGAAAGTGGCTTGTGAAAATGCCCCAACGAAGATTGGTGATTCCGTCCGTACGATTTTCTGTTTCCAATTGCAGAGCTTGTCTTGATCATAAACCTCTTGTTATACTCTTAGTGGTTTGCGCTATTTGGATATGAGGAAGGAGATTGTTGATATGTTTTCTTATGGTGTAGCTTTGCAGGTAATGGAGAACAAGGTGGTTGCAGCCATTGGTCCACAATCTTCAGAAATTGGTCACATAATCTCCCATGTAGCTAATGAGCTTCATGTACCTCTCTTGTCATTTGCAGCGACGGACCCGACTCTTTCTTCGCTTCAATACCCTTATTTCTTTCGCACCACACAGAACGATTACTTCCAGATGAATGCAATCGCAGATTTTGTATCCTATTGCCGATGGAGAGAAGTTGTTGCCATCTTTGTAGACGATGAGTATGGTAGGAACGGGATATCTGTATTAGGTGATGCTTTAGCAAAGAAACGTGCCAAGATCTCTTACAAGGCTGCATTTACACCCGGTGCAGATAATAGCTCAATCAATGACTTGTTGGTTTCTGTTAATTGTATGGAATCTCGCATCTTTGTTGTTCATGTGAATCCTGATTCGGGTTTAAACATATTCTCTGTCGCCAAGTCTCTTGGGATGATGGACAGTGGCTATGTCTGGATCGCCACTGATTGGCTTCTTACAGCATTGGATTCTGTAGAACCCGTCGTGGATCCCAAAACTATGGATCTCTTGCGAGGAGTAGTTGCTTTTCGACATTACACACCTGAGAGTAACAAGAAGAGACGGTTTAAAGCAAGATGGAAAAACCTTAGATCAAAAGAGAGTTCAAGAAGTGATGATGGCTTCAATTCTTTTGCATTGTATGCTTATGATTCTGTTTGGTTGGTAGCTCGTGCTCTCGATGTTTTCTTCAGAGAAGGCAATACAGTGACGTTCTCCAATGATCCGGATCTGAGGAAAACCAACGATAGCAACATTAAGTTTACAGCACTTAACGTCTTTAATGAAGGGGAGAGATTCATGCAGGTCATTCATGAGATGAATTATACAGGTCTGACCGGACAAATCGAGTTTGATTCAGAGAAAAACCGGAAAAATCCAGCATACGACGTTTTAAACATAAAAAGTAGAGGTCTACACAGAGTCGGGTACCTGTCAAATCATAAAGGTTTCTCAGTTGAGCCTCCTGAGACATTATACTCTAAGCCTCCAAACACATCTACAGAACATCAACGTCTTAATGAGATCATATGGCCAGGGAAGGTAACAAAGCCACCTCGGGGTTGGGTTTTCCCTGACAATGGAAGGCCGCTCAAAATTGGAGTGCCTAACCGTGTAAGCTACAAAAACTATGCATATAAGGACAATAACCCACTTGGTTTTAAAGGCTATTGCATCGACATCTTTGAAGCTGCTGTTCATTTGCTTCCGTATCCTGTCCCACGTACTTATATACTATATGGGGACGGAAAGAGAAATCCTTCATATGACAATCTGTTAAGCCAATTTGCTGCAAATGTGAGTCTTACTTCTTCTTTCATTTACTCAATCAAGTGTACACGGATACTATACTAACTTGTCCGTCTTTTTCTGTTTGATGTCTCAAGAATTTCGATGTAGCTGTTGGGGATGTTACAATCATTACAAACAGAACCAAGTTTGTAGATTTCACGCAGCCATTTATGGAATCAAGGCTTGTGGTTGTAGCTCCAGTGAAGGAGGCCAAGTCTAGTCCTTGGTCGTTCTTGAAGCCATTCACTTTAGAGATGTGGGCTGTGACCGGAGCCTTGTTTCTCTTTGTGGGAGCCATCATTTGGATTCTTAAACATCGCTTTAATGAAGAATTTCGTGGACCCCCTAGGCGTCAAATCATCACCATTTTCTGGTTAGCTCCCAGTTCCTGACATAAGATATGACAAAGATGAAAATAGAAACAAAACAATTAGTAAATTGAAACAAGAAATCATATTTATAAGTTTTAAACTGATGCTCTAAAGCACTTTGCCCTTTCGTTTTTGGTCTTCAACGTTGCAGGTTTAGCTTCTCAACGATGTTCTTCTTTCACAGTATGTGCTCGATTACAAATTGGAGCCTACAAATCATCAATGAGAAGAAACCTTGTTTTGTTTAATGTTATTTCCAAGCTGTCTATTTTTGTTTAATTCTTTTTCCTTACGTGATCTTCAGGGGAGAACACAGTGAGCTCGTTGGGGAGGTTTGTGCTACTCATATGGTTATTTGTGGTTCTGATCATCAACTCAAGCTACACAGCCAGTCTCACTTCGATCCTCACCGTTCAACAGCTAACATCTCGGATAGAAGGAATGGAGAGTCTAATAACAAGCAATGAACCCATTGGAGTACAAGACGGTACCTTTGCGTGGAAATATCTGATCAATGAACTTAACATAGCTCCATCAAGAATCATTCCGCTGAAAGACGAAGAAGAATATCTCTCTGCTCTTCAACGTGGTCCTAGAGGCGGTGGTGTGGCAGCCATTGCCAACGAGCTTCCTTACATCAAAGCTCTATTGTCAAACAGTAACTGCAAGTTCCGTACAGTTGGACAGGAATTCACCAGGACAAGCTGGGGATTTGTATGTAAAAAGACAAAAACTGTGTTTTCAAGAGTTAAAGCTTAAACTTCTTTTTTCTCGGTCTCTCTTCTTGCTTACCGGATCTTTTGATTGATGCAGGCTTTCCAGAGAGACTCTCCTCTAGCTGTGGACATGTCAACAGCGATCCTGCAACTGTCTGAAGAAGGAAAACTGGAAAAAATCTGCAAGAAATGGCTTACCTACAGCCACGAATGCACAATGCAGATTTCAGACACAGAGGACTATCAAATCTCGGTACAGAGCTTCTGGGGACTCTTCCTAATCTGTGGCATCGTTTGGTTCATTGCACTCACCCTCTTCTGCTGGAAAGTTTTCTGGCAATGGCAACGGTTAAGACCAGAAGAAGAAGACAGTGATGAAGTAAGGACCAGTGAGGAGGCTGGTCCTTCTAGATCAGGGAGAAGTTTGAAGCCAGCAGCGAGTTTCAAGGACTTGATCAGAGTTGTTGATAAGAGAGAAGCAGAGATCAAGGAGATACTTAAGCAGAAAAGCAGTAAGAAACTCAAAGCTAGCCAAAGCTCAGCTGAAACTACATAGAGACGGTTTAGATTATAAAAAAAAATTAAAAAGAGTTACACAATTTGTTCAATTGATTACTGATATATAACATTACTTACCGGGGTAAATAATTTTATCATAAGGTTTTTTTATGGGACCATAACCCAAAGATAAACATGCAATTCCATTTGTTCCCACACAAAATGTTTTAAAAAATAAAACATCTTGCAAAACGAGATTAAATTGGTTTTCCACCTACAGCTGCAAATTCAATAAAACTACCACTGAATCGAACCGAAATTGTCTCAGCCGGTTTACTGGTTCGGTTTACTTTAAATTTGAAAGGAACATCGTTAATTTCGCAAGTATAAAAATAAGCCGGGGCTATTCTTCTTCTTTCGTTTATTTCGCGGTCACCGACAGATTATTCGAAGCAGAGAAAAAAAAAAATCCATCGAAGAAGGAGAAACCCAAAAAAAAAAAAAAAATGGGAGCATTTTGCAAGTTGATCGATGCCGTTCTCTTCTTATTCTTCGCTCTCATGGCGGTCGTTGCACCGCTCATCGACGGTCAAACAACTCTTCCCGGCGCCATTTACCCGGCGTTTCTCGTCGATCTGTATCGTTGGTACGGTGACGAATTCGGAGATTATCTGGTCATGGAGAAGCCGAATTTCCTCGTCGGACTCGTCTGGCACGAGCTATTGCTCCTCTGGCCGCTCTCGATCGTCAACATCTACGCAATTCTCGCCGGGAAATCGTGGTTCGGTACCACCTCTATGGTGTACGGAGCTTCCCTCGTCACTTCTATGGTACGGTAGATCTGAAATTGAGCTCTCCAATTTTTCCTGATCGAATTTGAATAATGTGTTTAATTTCAGGCAAAATGTCATATATGTGTGGAGATAAAATGATTATTGGTTGATGCATACTCTGTACATAGATTTAGAAATGAAGCTGACCAAGTATATAACCAATGAGATTTGAATAAATAATGCTTCATTTGAGATTTCTTTATTTGGGTATCAATGAATGTTGTGAATTGCAGTTACTTCCCTAGATTCACAACATTGTAGGTTGATGAGAGATTTTGAGTTTCCACCACTATGTTGATCAGTTTCATGGTTAAAATGTAATTTATTAGCTTCTCTTGCTGCTGTTCTGCAAAATGTTTATCTTTCTACAATCATATCTATGGAACATTGTGTAGAATCTGATATGTATTTTTTTTTTGGAAGTATTGTGTCTGATTCTCATTGTGATTTGTCTTTGAAGGCTGCAATATTGGGAGAGATGGTAGGTTCAGGGAGGGCAACTGAGAGATTGTTGATGATGTATGTGCCTTTCATGGGAATTGGTATTCTAGCTCTTCTTCGTGGTCTTCTTTCCCAATCCAACAAAAGCGGTGGAGCTGTTGGCAAGAGACCTGCTAATTTGGCAAGGAGAAAGCGTGCTTGATGTTGAGGTACTAATCTGTAAGCAGCAAGGTTGAGTTTCTCTCTTTGTCTTAGAGAATCTCTCTCTGCTAAATGGATTTTGGTTTTTTCAAGTTTTTGCAAGAGAGAATTTTTTTACTATTTTTCAAGTAAATCATGTGTTTTTATGTTTGAAATGAAATTAAGTTTTATACTTGACAATTCTTTTACCTTACCAAACTGTCTACCTATGGGTCTTGGCAAAACACAACCCAAGACAGATTATCAGCTCAGACTCTCTTTTTTTTTTCTGCCTTGTTGGGTTTGGTCAATTCAAAACCATAGCCAACAGCCAAAAACTCCCAAGAGAGATCTTTCCAATAAACCAAAAACTCCTAAGAGAGATCTTTCCAATAAACCATAGCCAACTGCCAAAAACTCCCAACAGCCAAAAATGTTTAAACTTTCAATAAACCAAACTCCCAAGATAGTCATCAAAAGAAAACAAGATGTAAAATATCCAAACTACTGAAAGTTGCAAGCCACCAGATAGAAAAAACCAAATTTGAAACATAAATGGAGAAAAAACAGAACTCAATATCCTGATGAGGTTCCAACAAACAAAATACTTAAACTGAAATAAAAAAAAGTTCATAAGAAAGTCAATTCCTGAACCTCATGAAAACCATTGGAAAAAAACTAGGCAGACCAAAATCTGACACTAGTCAAACACAATGGTTTCCTGTGAGGTTCGTTCCTTGACTCCTCCTCTTTTGAAGTTTTCCAATACCACTTAAAAACTAAAAAAAACAATAAAACAAAGTCTCTCACTTTCTTCCTTGATTCACTCCTCTGCATCCACTTTAGCTTTCATTCCTATAAAAGACACACACAAAAAAGGTCATCAGCACCATAAAATTGTTGCAAGTATCTGATAATTGCAAGTTTGTTTATGAAATGGGGATCAAATGATGTACCTAATGATGGTGGTTGAAGCAGTCTGAAGATGAAAGTAAGATTTGACCTTGTGCACGGTTGATAAAACCAGATTCTCAATGGTTGCAACAGAGCTAAAAGTCAGCTTAGCTGAATGAACAGATTCGACAAGAATCTGAAAGGCAACGCTCAGGAGTGACCCTCCTTCTCTTCCAGGACGAGCCATACCATCAGGAAGAATAGCAAAACCCGAAGGAAGCATAGGCACATAGTCAGAGTCACCTCCCTTGAAAACAAGATCCATCGCTGATACATCAATAGGCGCAGATATCACAAACGAAGCTGCTGGATCAGTGGAGGTCTCTTGAACTATTATCATATTTTTCTCTATAGTTTTTGGCCCCTGTAACCCCAAAAAACAAAAAACATTAGTCACACATCAAAAGATCAAAAACAACACATTAGTTTTCTTATAATGTTTCACTCTTTTACCTGGAGTATAGATACACAGTTCCTACTGTCTCTCCCATTTGCAATCTGTGACAGCTTCTGCACATTACCGGCACTGGAGAGAACATCCCACTGCAGATAACATTTTCAAAACGTGTTATGTATCACTATATCTAGAAAGAAAAGGACGAGTTATATAATAGTGCCAAGAAAATAGTGTTACATGGATTCGAGTGTTCTCGTCTCTGAGGAAGTCAAAGACAGTGCTAGGAGGAACCGGGACCCAAAAGGAAGTAGCTGCACAGAGAATGACACCGGGAGGCCTTCCTGGATCATTCACGCTCGTCCTAGTCATCAGTCTGATACTATCTCCTGCATAACCAGACAAATTACACCACAAATCTGCAGTCGAAGCAGTCACTCCAGAGAAGAAACTCCTCCCCATCCTCTCAGCTAATTTCAGAATGTTGTGCTTTGATTGGTTCGTTAACGCTGCAACATGCCACATAAACTCACAAAATGGTTAATAAGTAAGAAATAAAAGAGAGTGATTAGGTAAAAGATCATAAGGAGTAGTGAATACTTAGTAGACCACCCGGTTCAATAGATGGAATGTTTGTAGCCATCATGCAGGCTAACCGCTCGGACTGGCGGTCCAATGTTGTAACCCAACGGTTAGCAGCTAAAGCTTGACCAGAACTGATATACTGCTTATACAAGTTGTGAATTATTGCTCCTCTGTCATCTAGCTCCACATGCTCAACCCATGTAACCTTTTTTTTCCAAAACCAACAAGAGATTATAACCATTTAACGTTTAAAGAATCTATGACAAAACCATAACAAAAAAGACAAATGTAGTTTTGTACCTTGGAGAATCCATTTTGGATTTGTTGAATCAGACATCCAGATGGTCGACGACGACATCTGAGTTCGAGGTTTGGAATGAGATGGTCAATGGAAACATCGACCACTGCCCATAAACCCTCTCCTTGCTGTCTACAGTAGCGTAAGAAGTAGCTTTCACGGGTTGAGACTAACGGCGAAAGAATTTGGTATTCAACAGTCATCTATCATTTAATAACAAACAATAATATAGTTTATATCAAAATAATGTATATAATAACAAGAATATTGGTTATGTCAAAAAAGATTTCATTCTTGATTTATAGCTCCTCTGTTACTTATATTTTATAGAATGCAAATTAGAAGATTTACCAGATGGAGAGTTCCGTCAAAGGTTCCGTTGACTCCAGCGTATAAAACTTCATGAGTCATGGCTCTAGCAACCATTCCAGCAAACATGGTCGACCATAGATTCTGCAAAACACCTTTAATTAAATACACACACCTTGTATACACTAATGTATATTTGTATGTTGTATGATTGAAGAATATAGCTTACCACATCCATGAGCCTCTTGACAATGTTCATATGATTCATGTACACGACTGCGGTTTCCCTCGATGCCTCGGTTCTAAACCCGTTGAGTCTAGGGCCTAGTCCGTTTTGGAATGTTCTTGTGTATTCATCCAAGTCCAAAGCTAAGCTCGTGCCATTAACTCCTCCTTTCCATAGTGGTTCACCTACTTGAGCCATCGCAATTAGCTCATCCATGGCTCTAAATGCTAACTCTATGATCAATGGCTTATCGGCATCTTTCACTCCAATGATTGACCTCAAGTGGTTTTGGATACTTTCATGCACTTGTCTACCATTAGTTGCCATCCCGGGCTCGGATGGTCGAGCTGGAACAGGAGGAGCCATGAGAGCATACCTAGGTCTGCCTGCATACTTGGTCGCCACGGCAGATAATTGCTGGATCTAGAACCCCAAAAGAGAAACACAAAAATAAAATAAAAATTAAACGAAATTTGAACAATTCTATTATGTATAGGATGGACCATAACATGTAGGTTACTGATTTGTGTTAGTGTTGTTATTTTCAAATCCGCATAATTAATGTATATACCGTTGACAAAAAAAAATATGCCGTTAACCATGTAATTTGTAGTGGTCAGTGCATAATGCTTATGAAACTAATCATATATATATATATATATATATGTTCAACATTATATTCTAGATAGAATTAAAGGCGCATTATATATGGTACGTACCTCTTGGGCTAACCCAGCATTTTCGAGGCGAAGATGATGTTCTTCGAAAGACATTTCACCAATTGCAGTGTGACCTCCACACTTAGGACATAAGGCATTAGCAATAGCTTCTCGGTATTGGTGGTTTTCGTTTCTAAGCCTATTGTTCTCCGACCGAAGTTGTGAGTTCTCATGGCGTTCTAGATGATTCTGCAAAACAAAACAAAAAAACAAAAAAATGCAATTCTTAAAAATGTTTTCATTGAGATGAAAAACTACCTAATTAAGTGGTTATATATATTTCTTTTAATATGAGTGGTTACATATATTCTTAATCTTATCACATTAATGTATTGCAATTCAACATATGTATGTGTATCATCAGTCTACATTTATATACCATGAATCAAAACCAATTCATGTTTATACAAACATTAAATATGTGTGAGATGATGATAAATTCATTATATAAAAGGGTTATATTATATACCTTATTTTGGGTGCGTTTGTTCTGGAACCAGAATTTGATCTGAAGATGGTCTAATCCCAATTGACGACTAAGTTCTTTCCTCTGCTTATCATCTGGATGAGGACACTCTTTGAAGAAACTATTCAACAAACAAACATAACATATAAAAATGTGAAAGTATTCCTATGTATATTTTTATTGATCATATATATAGAATTGGGGTTATTATATAATACAATAATAAAAAATAAATGAAAAGTTAAGAAGGAATTACGCTTCCATCTCCTGGATTTGATGTTGAGTGTGACGATGATATCGTTTTCTCTTATTAGAACGAGGATCTTGTTCGCTTCCATCTTCTTGAGTCTCACTTGTATTCGTACTGTCGAATTCCTCATCTCCAAAACTGGTGTCACCCTGACCATCCATGTTGTTGTTGTTGTTTTCGTTGTTGTTGTTGTTTTCGTTGTTATCGTCATCTCCATTTTTGTTCGTATCCACTGGTACTAACATGTCTGGCTGGTACATTTTTGCTCTTTTTTTCTTTGAATTTTCTGGAAGATCTTAAGAGTTCAAAACTGAAGTGAGTTACTAGATACTAAATTCAAATAAGCAAAATAATAATTGTTTACTCACATTATCTAGAAACTAGGGTTTGCAGAAATGTTTTTTTTTTTTTTCCTTAATATTTAGACAGACTCTCTCTCTCTCACACACTCACACACCCACTATTTCATTACAACAAAAAGTTAGCTTTTCCAAGTCAACGACTTTATCCTTTTTTTTTTAATCTCTCTTCTTCTTCTTGAAGATCTTAAACATAAAAAGAGAAACAGACAATAATATAGAAAAAAAAATCAAGGGTGATCATAGGACACACCAGTTGAAATGAAAGACAAAAAGACGCTTAACATCACAATCAGCATATGAACAAACAATTATATTAACAGAAATTGAAATTTTCTGTAGACAGAATCAAATTTAAATGAATCCAAAAAATATTTTAGATAAAAAGAATTAAGGTCAAAGTAAAATAAAAACCTTACCAGAAGATAATGAACTCTCCGAGACTGATTTATGATTGAAGCAAAAATAATATTGAAAATGTTTTATTTTTTGAAAGTAAAAATTTCAAGAGATTTTGAAATTTATAAAGATCTAAATAAAACAAAGATATCGCGAAAAGGAAGAAAATACGAAAAGATAAATAGTGGATTCGCGAAAAGGAAGAAAATACGAAAAGATAAATAGTGGATTCATTTGCACTAATAAAGTAAATGACCATAAATAGATCAAAGAAAATATTATGTTAACGAAATAATTGTTCTAAATTCAGTTATTTACATGGCCAAATTAATTATATTTTTTATGATTATAAGGTTCTGGACCAAAATTTGTATATTTTTAAGATTTGAGACTAGAGCACGTTACATCATCATGTTCCGATTGATTGATTTAAACTTCTGATTCATATATTGATTATTCTTTTTTAACTTTAAAAAGTTCAAAAAAAACTATAAAGATGCAAAAAAACATATTTATGTTTTACATTATTAATAAAAGATACAGAAATAAATCACTGATTATTCGTCTATTAATATTTATGCTAGATTGTATTATATTAGCATTTTGCACACAAATTTTTGAATATTGACAAAAATATTAATTATTCTTATTTTTAACTCTAAAAGTTAAAACATACCAAAATATATAACATCATATATTTATGTTTTAAAATAATTAACGATATTTAAATAAATCACTGATTATTGATTTATTAATGTCTATGTTGTACTAGATTAGCTTTTTGCGCGCCAATTTTTGAATATTAAAGTAAAATATTTTTTGGTTTTGGTTAATCAATAGATTTTAATTATTAAGGTTATTCAACTAAAATTATATTTTTCTTTCAGAAATGTTATCAGATTTTGTATTGAGGAAAGAAGAAAAAACATGATATCATATGGATCTACAAGGACGACCAACAGCAAAGAATCAAAGATCTACATAAACGATACCTTTTAATCAAAGTTTTCATTTCATATACATGCAACGTAGATGCATAATTAAATATAAACACATCAAATGAAAAAAAAAGTATAACAAAGAGGATCTAACGATACCTTTTTAGGGCTGTCTGTGTGAACTCAAGAAGAATCAAATAACTTTTTATCTTCCTATATGCTATTGTTCCTTTGTTAGCTTCATCTCTATCCATCCATCTTTGTCTCACTCGCTAGTCTCTATCTCTATAAACGATATAATAAAAAAAAAAAATTGAGAACAAAAATACGGTCCCAATAACAACACATATACGAATAGTTTCATCATTTGATGTATGTATACAAACATGATAGATAAACAAAGACGTCATTGATAATTCGGTTTTTTACGATAAAAAGGGAATGGTGCAACAAATTTAATCAGATGAAAAAAGAATAAAATCCAAGGTATATTTGTGATTAATGAGAAAGTTAATGAATATTACAGATATACATATTTTCGATGAAAAATAGGAGATCCTTGAATTCTATCGGTAGGCAATTAATGGGTTTGGTGGTTTGGTCGGAAAACTGCTGGTGGTTTTACGAAGCTGTTTGAGGCGTAAGGAGAGATTTAATTGCAGTGAGGATTACTGAGTGTGCTATTGAATTTAATGGTGACATATATAGTGTGAGAGACAGAGACACTTAATTTACCCTACACGCTCAAAGAAATTAGAAGAAAATAGAGAGACACATAGTTGATTAATAATCTCATAACTCTATCCTTTTATCCACGTGGCAAAACGTGATTGGATTCCATTTACAGTTATGTATTATTGCTTAATATTAATTGAATAAGAAGGAAACTAAATTTAGTTTTTTTCTGTCATTATAAGATAAGTATAACAAAATTTAGTCTTATTTTACATTTTAATATTTTCATCTATTTTTGTAGTTTTAATTTTTCATTTTAAGAAATAAAAATTTCTGTAAAATCGTATATGGTAGGAGCCTAGGAGTATGCATTATGTTAGTGACATGTAAAAAATATTTAAATTTTGTAGATCTAAATTTCATACTGAAAATACACTATCAAATCTTTTCATAAATATAAAAAACTATAAATATTATCACATAAAAATTTTAAGTACAGTATGTAATTTTAATAAATAATTTTCTAAATTATTACTACCACTGCTGATTTTATTAAATTTTTTGATTATATTACATATTTGATATTGATTAAATTTTATGTTAAAAATATATATTGTTAATCAATTATGTTAATAATAATATTGAAAAACATTTCGGGTCAACAAAATTAGAAACGTAATAAAGTATCTATTATGTTATTATGTTATGATTGACTAGCATCGATCATTTTAAAGTTAAAAAAAAAAATCTACATAAAAAAGTAATAAAACTTTTATGGTATTGTTATTATTAACAAGATCGATTGTTGGATTCATAAACTAAGAATTTTTAAATATAGACTAGATCTTTCATCCGCGCGTAGTCAAAGATCAATCATATATCATTAAACATTGTTCATGGTCAACTATTTTATTACCAAACAATTATATGAATCAAGTTTGACTGTAAAATTTAATTAAAATTTAAAAATTAAAGTTAAAATAATGATTTAATTTAAAAGAAAAATTACAAAATTAGTCCATATTGTTTAGTTTGTTTACAGAAAAAAAAACTTTTAAATTAATTAACCAATTAGAAAAACACTCTATCCTTGTTGTAAAAAGTAAAAACTCTTTGTAGGTTTTAAAAGTCACTTTTTGGGGTTTTTTTAAGTCTTTTTTGATTTTAAAAGTCTCTTTCTTTGTCAGCAGGTTTAAAAGTCTCTTTACTTTTAAAAATTATTCGTGTAAAGTAATCCTAAACGAAAAATTGATTTTTGCATGTCTCTCTATGAGTTGCCCTTTAGAGTCCGTAACTGAAACCTTCTTAACGGTTAATTACTGTGGGGCCGTACGATTTGTTTTTTAGTTAAAGCTATTTTTATCTCATTACACCACTAATTAAAAAAAAACAGTGACAGCCTGTAATTGGGGGTAATTTCCTTGGTTGTATCTGTGCATTCATGGAATAAACATGCCTGTACACGTCTGAGTTGTATTTTCCTGCAACACAAAATGTTTATATTACCTTTCTTTCTTTTTTTTCTTGGTAGAAGGATTAATTATTTATATTACATTTCATTTCAAAATTCAAGTTTTTTATTTTTTAATAAAACAACATACAATTGATTATTTTCATTACTTTTTTAATTTGCAAATGAAAGTTTAACAAAATGAGATGATTAATTAGTGAAGTAATTAGTGCCATACTGGACTAATGTCACAACTGTAAGTTCCATGCCATAGGGTTGAGCTAATTGGTTGTCCTTGCATCATAATTTGGTTTTTAGGTCGCTCCACTACAAGAAAACAATCGTTTTCCAACGGTCCATTACGACGGTTTTCAAATCATCGCAAGTTTACAACGATTTTACGACGATCTAACGTCTAATTTTAAAACCGTTGTAACACAATCGTATAAAAAATCGTCGTAAACTCGACGTACAATTTACGACGAATTACGACGATTATACATCGAAAACGAGAGATTTGCTAGTAAATGTAAAATCGTCGTAAATTCGATGTAACATTACGACGAATATACGACGACTGCATTTCGATGTACATATTACGACGTAGTACGTCGAAAAGAAGTTAGGTGGAAAACATTTAAAACATGTTTACCTAACAATTGCAGGAGATAGATTTTATCGCATAATCGTCGTAAACTCGTCGTAATAATATTTTTGAATGTAAATTCGTCGTAAAATTTCGTCGTAAAAGCGTTGTAAAGCCCGAAATTTTCCTATAAATAGATCTTCATTCCTTTTTTCAATCACAACACAATATCATTCAAACATAAGAGCATCTTCATCTTTGAGACCCATTGTAGGTCTCTTAAATTTTAGTTTAGTGTTGTAAATCCTTATATATTGGGTTGTCCATTGCTGGAAACCCGAATTAAGAGTTATATTACTTTGAAAAGAAGAAGTAATAATATTATAAGGTTAATTTACTCCATTCACGTGGCTAGATCGTGACACAATTGTCTAATCAATAAAAAGAGATAGTATTTTGAGTTTATTTTCAAGATGTCTATATACGAGCTAAGAAGTTAGATGTATATACGTAAAGATTCAGATGGGACGTTGACAGAAGAGTTCAAGAACGGGTTAGAAATATTTATGTTTCAGGCTACAAATATGGAGAGAACGAAAGATAGTGGGAAGATGTTTTGTCCTTGTTTGAAATGCAAGAATACGAGGTATACACTAACCAAAACCGTGTGTATTTATTAAATAGAGGGTTTATGCCGCAATATTTTGTTTGGTATCTACATGGAGAAGGATATGGCAGTAATACTCATGGAAATGCTGGTAGTAGTAGTAATTATCAAAGTCATGTTGATATTGATGAATCGAATTATGGTCATCAAGCCTAATCAGTATCAATATGATCAAATTGTAGATCATGATAGGATGCACGAAATGGTGACTGATGCATTTCATGAAACGCATACTGGTAATGCTGTTGAGGAACCTAATGTAGATGCCAAACGATTTTTTTCTTAATAAAATTTTAATTAAAAGACTACTTTAATTTGCTATATATCGAAATCAAGAAATAAAAGCAGAATTTGTTTCTTATTAGGTGGACCTGAATGATCCGGATGAATTTCCAACATGGTTCCATGAGTTACTACTAGGTCCGATGGCAAAAATAACTACAGCCTCAATGTATTTCACTCGGAGCTATGTTTTTCACACATACCGTCACGGTGCAAAGCGGGCGACAACTAACTATGGAGTTTGTGTGAGGGTTGAAATCGATTTTTATGGAGTTGTGCAAGAAATAATTGAAGTAGAGTATCCTGGATTGTTAAGGCTGAAAACTGTTCTCTTCAAATGTGATTGGTTTGATCCAACTGTTGGACGAGGGGTACGTCTAAACAAGTTTGGAGTTGTTGACGTGAACAAATCACGACGGTACAACAGGTTTGAGCCATTTATATTAGCTTCTCAAGCAGAATAGGTAACGTTTCTGCCATACTCTCGAGTTCGATCAACAGGAATTTCATGGTTAGCTGTAGTTAAAGTGGCTCCGAGGGGCAAGATTGTAGGAGTTGAGGATGTTCCACTTCAACAGGACACTTGCGTAGATCTGTCTGAACTAGATGTTGATGAGGAGATTTTCTTAATAGACCCTCAGAACAGGCAAGTTGAAGATCTTCCCGATGATACAGATGAAGAAGGTGATGATGAGTTTGCTGAAACCGATGATGACGATTTGGCGGAAGAAGACGGTGATGGTGATGAAGTAATAGAGGAAGATGAATCTGATTGAGTTTCATGCATTTTATTTAGTGAATGTTTGTTATTATGTAATTTGTAACTTTGTTTGTTTGAATTTTTTAAAAACCCTAAAATTCGATTTTACGACGGTTTTAAGACGGTTTTTCTAAACTCTAAACCCTAAGTCTAGGTTTTAAGCCCTGAATGAATAGGGTTTCAACATTACGACGTCTTTACGACGAACTATCGTAATATCGTCGTAAAGTTACGACGGTTTTACGACGAGTACACTATTTCGTCGTAAACTCGTCGTAATGTTGAAATCCAAGAATTTAAATCTTTTATATCTTATTGGTTGTAAGGTATTTCACAAATGTTTTTGATTGGTTATCTTATTTTATATGAAATGCTATCAATCTGATCAAAATCAAAAATTTGAAAAAAAACATACATATTTACAAGTCCATGCATGTTTTCGTAAATGTTAAGTGAAAGGTTATATATTAGATTACGGAATTTCAATTTTTACTATCTAATGTCATAAATCCATCATACATGCAAAGTTGTAAACCTTTTGTTATATGTTAGGATACAATAACAATTGCATTGTTCTTTATGCAATATCCCATTTATAAGATTTAGGGTTTACTCACTTTTTTAAAAAACATCGTAAAACCGTCGTAATATAATCGTAAATGTACGACGGTTTTACGATGTTTTTTAAAAAAGTGAGTAAACCCTAAATCTTATAAATGGGATACCGGATAGGCTCTTGATCCGAGGTACGAGGTTATAAATGTTTAGACGTTACGACGATTTTACAACGGTTTTGGGTTTAATCGTCGTAAAACCGTCGTAACGGTCAAATGCTCCCATCACGACATGTGTCATGTCATGCAGTGGACCGACTGTTATACAACCGAATCGTCGTAAAACCGTCGTAAAATTACGACGATTTTACGACGATCACAAAATCTATATAAGGGACGCGAGTTTTCCCCCTTTCGTCGCTCATTCATCTCTTCTCCTCTCTCTCTCTACAATACTTTCTCTCTCTAATCCCTAAACCACTCCCTCTCTCCCTACTCTCCCAGCCAAAAGTTGTAAGTTTTTTTTTTTAAATTAATTTCATTACATATTATTTTAGATTTAGGTTCGGAATTTAGATTTAGGTTCGGAATTTATCTTTAGGTTTCGGAATTTAGATAGGCCCGGATTTTGTAAATTTAAATAAATATTTGTAAAATTAGTAACAAATTTTTTAAAATTTTGTAGATTC